ATCTTAAGAGCGAATCCATGCAAAAATCGGCCAAAATCGCCGATTCGTGGCAAGGCTCAAAAAATCAAAATCGCTCTTCTTTTGCAGACTGGTAGACATTAGTAAGTATACAAACGCTATGTAGTTTTTTCTTCGAAAGATCTGTTCGTTTCCGAGAAAAACGAAAAAACCGTTTCAAGCCCCACCGTCGATTTCGCAAGCCAAAAACAGGGTTGAAATTCATCATGATTCGCTGGACTCGCGTTCCAATACAGCCGCGCTAGGAAAAAAACTTGTTGCTAAAATGTTAAGTTTAACTCGTCGTTGATCAAAATATGTATTATTGCATTACAACAGTCTGAGTAATTATAAAAAAGCTAAAGCGTACGGCTACCTGATGTTTAGCCACGAAAGGTCGTTGAAAACAGCGACGATTTTCATCAGGTGCCTTTGATCAGAATTTTTTCAGATTGAAGGGAAATACACTACAGGCATCAAACTATTATGTTATGCAAAAATTATTTTGGGGAAATCATTTTGAGCTTCTCAGAAATTATTTGAAAATCGTTTTACAGACAACATAAAGTAACGCCATCTTTAACATATGCGTGACCATCGTCAGTCGACCAGGCAAAGGTCATGAAACGTCTCTCCGAAAAAGTCTTGGTAATATTCACGCACAAAGTTCTAAATGTTAAAGTACTCACCCTATTCTTTGTTTCAGGTCTAGTTTTACGACAAAATGTACTAAAATGTTTCCCGTTGCCATCTGTTCAAGTTTGCCATTCTATATTAAACTCTATTTGAGACTCATAACCAACACGCATGCTTTCTAACGAAGTTCGCGTAGTAAACACGTAGTAAACCCTCTCTTCCTTATCTGTCAACAACTTTTGTCTCAAAATGCTGCTGGACTCCGCAGAAGGAAGCGCCAATCTGAAGGATAAAGCGCCCATGCGAACGTTTTGTGACTCGGTATGCAAATTACTGTCAACAGTAATATCAGATTACAGCTGTCAAGATCCCGGGGCCCGGGGTATGGATCCGCTAAAAGCAGTCGAAAAGCAAACGAACAACATGCGTATAATATAAAATTTTTGAAAATGAAGAATTTAATTGGTAGCCTCAATGAAGATTTTCATTGCTTCGAGACGTCGGCATTATCAAATCAAAAGATGTCTTAACAAAAAATTGTGTATATGTTTTCTTCCCATCCTCACAGATGGAACTTCCAGTTGTTGGCTGCACGTGGGTAATCCCGGCCTGCACGTGCGGTATTTCAGAGTGCCTTCGTGATAAATGACAAATGTAATTTCTGCTGTTCTAAATGCCACTTTTCGTGAATTCGAGTATCGGGTTCTCACATCGATATCTCACTCGTTCGCTGCGCTCACTCGTTCGATATCGATGTGAACACTCGAAGATAAATTCCATATCTCCGCGCGACCATGTATTATTCTCTATATATTTACTCTGTGGGAAATCGGGTTTAATTTCAAACTAAGAGAAAAAGTGAAAGGTTTATTTTATCGGACAGATTAGGTGGATTGGTACCGTACCCGGGAGACTCTGGATTATCTAACAGAGTTGACAACTATAATAAACTTTATACAGTATTCGTGGATTGAATCTAAGTGACTTATTAGAATATAATACAGTGAATAAACCAAGAATAGCTGAACCTACAGGAATGAGGATACCGGTTTGCTGATAGATCATTATATTCTGAAATGTTCTTCCTCTAACTCTTTTGTCGGCTTTAACAGGTTTCCCTCTTCTTTCAATTATGTGATTGGTGCTTTCCTGTGGAACTTGGCACGAACTGGAATAACTGTTCCGTCGCCATCCAATACCGAGCTCAGAACGATGGAAAGAGGATATATTAAAGGAACTTAGGGCGCTTTCCATTTGTCAGAACTGGCCGGCTGGACCTTTGCCTGAGTTTTGCCGAAAAACGTTCTCTTTCGAGCATACTATTTCGGATTTGACTGATCTAGCTGAAGAGTTTGATTAAAAGGGAAATTATCATTGCGACGGGAATGGTCTGGATGGTCAGNTAGTAAACACGTAGTAAACCCTCTCTTCCTTATCTGTCAACAACTTTTGTCTCAAAATGCTGCTGGACTCCGCAGAAGGAAGCGCCAATCTGAAGGATAAAGCGCCCATGCGAACGTTTTGTGACTCGGTATGCAAATTACTGTCAACAGTAATATCAGATTACAGCTGTCAAGATCCCGGGGCCCGGGGTATGGATCCGCTAAAAGCAGTCGAAAAGCAAACGAACAACATGCGTATAATATAAAATTTTTGAAAATGAAGAATTTAATTGGTAGCCTCAATGAAGATTTTCATTGCTTCGAGACGTCGGCATTATCAAATCAAAAGATGTCTTAACAAAAAATTGTGTATATGTTTTCTTCCCATCCTCACAGATGGAACTTCCAGTTGTTGGCTGCACGTGGGTAATCCCGGCCTGCACGTGCGGTATTTCAGAGTGCCTTCGTGATAAATGACAAATGTAATTTCTGCTGTTCTAAATGCCACTTTTCGTGAATTCGAGTATCGGGTTCTCACATCGATATCTCACTCGTTCGCTGCGCTCACTCGTTCGATATCGATGTGAACACTCGAAGATAAATTCCATATCTCCGCGCGACCATGTATTATTCTCTATATATTTACTCTGTGGGAAATCGGGTTTAATTTCAAACTAAGAGAAAAAGTGAAAGGTTTATTTTATCGGACAGATTAGGTGGATTGGTACCGTACCCGGGAGACTCTGGATTATCTAACAGAGTTGACAACTATAATAAACTTTATACAGTATTCGTGGATTGAATCTAAGTGACTTATTAGAATATAATACAGTGAATAAACCAAGAATAGCTGAACCTACAGGAATGAGGATACCGGTTTGCTGATAGATCATTATATTCTGAAATGTTCTTCCTCTAACTCTTTTGTCGGCTTTAACAGGTTTCCCTCTTCTTTCAATTATGTGATTGGTGCTTTCCTGTGGAACTTGGCACGAACTGGAATAACTGTTCCGTCGCCATCCAATACCGAGCTCAGAACGATGGAAAGAGGATATATTAAAGGAACTTAGGGCGCTTTCCATTTGTCAGAACTGGCCGGCTGGACCTTTGCCTGAGTTTTGCCGAAAAACGTTCTCTTTCGAGCATACTATTTCGGATTTGACTGATCTAGCTGAAGAGTTTGATTAAAAGGGAAATTATCATTGCGACGGGAATGGTCTGGATGGTCAGTTCTGAGCTAAAATAAAGTCTGTTTCGCTTTCAATACCAGAAAGAGACCATGTCGACCTATGCCCAGTCACGTCCTTAATAGTTGGACAGCGACAAAGGAACAATCTCAGTTGATCACTGCTTATCCCTTCTGTCAAACGAACACAGAGTACCTACTAATGACTCGAGGGAGCACGAACCTTCCATAGCTTCATCGAGGAAGAGCGCACACAAACAGTGTTTTTGCAAAGATCTTTTTCTTTTTCAAGTGGGAATGAACGGTTGAATCAAATTAAACTAAATTTAATTCGATAATGTTAATCAAATGCCTAAAATGTCAAAATATTTAAGATAATTCTCAGGTAAAATAATGTCAACTGCAGTATTTTTGAAGAAGGAGGAGTATAAAAGATGAATCTTTTTCAATGTACTGGAAGTAACGGGTGAAAGTCGGTGAAGCTCGTCACGTGTATACTCGGTTCCGGAAGTAGACCCTTGGCACACTCCTATGCAAATCAGATTACTTGAAGTGAACGGATCCACGAGCAAGCAACTTTGCTGGCGACAGTTAAACTACCGAGCTTTGTTTTATAGTCGGCTTTTTTAAGGTCCAGGGTTCTCAAAATTTTTAACAAATATGAGCTGTTAACTTGAAAACATTAGAGAAAACAGAGGGATGAAGAAATTACCAGAAAGCTGTCACGCACTTCCAGCGTACACATTCCAGCGGACTTCACGACTACGGTAAGATAGGTGATAAGGCGGCAAAATGAAAAAACTTGGAGCTTGAAGTACAACATATCAGGTTAAGGTGAGCTTTTTTAAAAAATTGTTCTATATATCAAGGCTACCAGCGTTGTAAAAGGAAACCTAAAGTCAAATTGTTGGTGGTGGTTGTGTGACTTGTGTGTTGGATGCCGTTATTTATGTTGTCTGTAACACGAATTTCAAATAATTTCTGAGAAGCTCAAAATAATTTCCCCAAAATAATTTTAACATAACATAATAGTTTGATGCTTGTAGTGTTTTCCCCTTCAATCTTCAAAAATTCTGATCAAAGGCACATGACGAAAATCGTCGCTTTTTTCAACTACCTTCCGTGGTTGAACAACAGGTAGACATACGCTTTAGCTTTTTTATAATTACCGAGACTGTTGTAATGCTAAAAATATTATATATTTTGGTCAACGACTAGTTATACTTACAATTTTAGCAACAAGCTTTTTTTCTAGCGCGGTTGTTTTGAAATGCAAGTCGAGCGAATCATAGTGAATTTCAACCTTGTTTTCGGCTTGCGAAATCGACCGCGGGGCTTGAAACAGTTTTCTTGTTTTTCTCGGAAACGAACAGATCTTTCGAAGAAAAAACTACATGGTGTTTGTACACTTACTAAAGTCTATCAGTATGCCAAAGAAGAGCGATTTTTATTTTTTGAGCCTTGCCGCACTTTGGTCGATATTTGCATGGAGTTGCTCTTAATAATGTTGTATTACACATAAATTCGTGGTACTTAATTGTTATAAATTCGATTCTTTTACAGCACTCTTTTAGATTTATTTCTACTTTTATTAATCTATGCTTCTATCCTTCCTCAACATTCCCCCTTCTTTTTGAAAAACAGTTGCATTCATTTTCTAACTGTAATGTTGACCTTTGGGCGTGTTCATTTTATATTTTCACTCCTTTGCTTTTTCAGTTACAAACTAATCGTCTAGTTTTGTGGAGATAATTAAATTTATTACTTTATTAGGAAAGGTGGCAGGATACCTTGCACAGATGAAATTAGCCAGTCCTGAAGAACCATGGTTGAGCTGGACGATAACTAACGTTTCTCAGTCATCTCAGTCATATCTGTTTACCCAACTAAAGCCAAATTGCGAGTACTATGTGACTATAATGGCACAGAACAAAATGGGATATGGTTGGCCTTTAGGCATGGAAAAAGTATCAACGATTCAGGCAGGTAATTTCTTTCGAAAGTTTTTGTTTAAACCAATTCAATCCGGAATGTTTATTTGATCTTTTGAGAGTAGAGCAGCGTATCCCCATTCCACCCTGTCTCCCCAAGTTTACATCAAACTTACAGGGATTATGTCTTGTGAGTTATGAGGTTCCTTCCCCCATTTCAATTACAGAGGAAGCTCTCTAAGCGATCGCCTCTGTAATTCATAAAATTGCTCCCACTCCTAGGGCTTAATTAGTTTACGAGAATTGAAATTGATCTCTCGTTTTTAAGCGACCATGTGATAAACCTATATATTGAGGACGGTCGCATACGAGAACTATTCGCAGAAAGGTTCACATGTGGTGTTAGTTACCCATAGTTTTTTACATTTTCAGTTGGTTTGGCAACAATTAACAACAACAATAAGATACGCACACGCTTTAAGATATAGGTTGGAATGTACTATTACCTATAGGATAACGCGTTTTCTCATCGTCTTAATGGTTTGCCGTGTTTTATAGATGCTCCTAGCCCGCCCGTGTTCGACGTTATAGCGAGCGAAAATGAAAATGAGTGTGCTGTCTTTGTGCAATGGTCCCGGGAACCATCATCAAGTGACTGCCCTGTACTGTTTCATACAATAAGCTACAGACGAAAAGGTGAAAATGAGTGGACCAGATTGAATATTACAGGAAAAAAAACCAATAGCCAGAAGATCGAGACAGAATGTTCTACGGAATATGAGTTCCAGCTTGTGGCGACGAATGAAGTAGGATCGAGCCCTTTTACTACTAAAACGTACACAACGAAAGGGAATGCAATAAAGAATAACGAAAGAGGTATATATGCATACAATGTGCAGATGGTGGTCATTGTATAGAGCGTTTTGACATGACTTCACAGCGGCCATATTGAAATTTCAAAAGAACAAAACGGCAGCCATGAAAGTGTTCCAACCAATCTTGCGGGGATTAAACTGACTTTTAATCTTGTGTAAATGCTTGCTTTTGCTTCAATTATTTTGCATAGAAGCTGGACACATGAGTGAAAACACTTCATACATATAGAAGGTGTTTGAGTGTATCAGTCTAACAAAAGACAATATTTACAGAATGATCCTGCTCATAGTTTCCTCCATTAGACATGTATTTAGGACGACACTTATTGATTGATCATCTATCTAGTGCAACACTATTGGAAGATTGAATTAACTATACAAAAGAATAAATACAGTCCCAAGAAAGTTGTAACGCTATTCTTTGTCAAGGACATACCGCAATAGATCCATTTACGGTTGCGAGGGCGTGCTGGGTAATTATTTCTTGCTTATTGAATATAATTGTCACTTTCCCTTTAAAAGTTGTAACTAAAGAGCTCAAAGAAACTACATACTAAATCTGGAGTGCATAGCAGTCCTTTGTTGCTTTTTAGAAAACCTGAGTTCTTCTATGCATTTCCTGTAATCCGACAACACAAAAAGTACAGAAAATGTATGGAAGACGCCAAATTTTCTAAAAAGCGACAAAGGACTTCTGTGCACTCCACATTTAGTGTATAGTTTCTTCTAGTTTATTAATTAAAGTTTTCAAACAGAAAGTGACGAATATATGCTAAATTAGGAAGAATTCGTTCACTTTGAATTCCCATACAAACTAATGAATTCCCCACCATCTTGTCCTGATTACACAGCATGCCCTCACAAGCGTAAAGGGGTCTATTGTTTGTATTTGGGTTTTAATGTCCTGCGTAATGATTACAACGTTTTCCTTCAAAATTCTCCATAATTTATTATCTCGTTACACATCGGGGCCAGGCCCGAGTGGTACAGCATGACAGAATCTTCTGGAGTTCTCGCGGCCAATACTAAGACACACATCGCAATGTTCCAAAAATAAATTGTTGATTTTAAAAAAGTCCAAAAAAAAAATTGAAAGATGAGATTCTCTGGGGGAAACGAAACTACAACCAGACAATTGAGACTCCAAAATCAAGAATCAGAATAGTCGATCTCATAGCAGCCAATGTACATACTGAAAGCGAAAAATTGTTAATATTTCAAATTACAGTTATTTCTCTGGAGTTTATTCTCATCTATATCTTCGCCGGTTTACTTACAATCCTGGGAGCTGTACTGCTGGCAGTGTGCATCAATCAATACAGAAAGAAAGGAAATCAATCCACTAAGAGGTATGTAAGTACAATCTGCTTTAAAAATTCCTTTTTTCCTTCATTTTAAATGATGCAATATCTACCCAACATACCGGTATATTTGCGTCCACCTGAGCCGTGTATAGTCTCTTTTGACGTGTTAGGCCTTTAGAATACATCCTTTGTATTCTGCATAATTGTAGCAGAGCTTTTTTAGTATACCGTGAAGCTGCGCTTCCGAACGCCAAGAGTAAGAAAATCTGGTTATCTAGCGATACATAAATTTTGTTTGGCCAATTTTTTCTATTTGATTAAATGGGCGTTCTAGAACTTGAAATACCGTCCAACCTCCACTAACGGCCACCTCTCCACAACAGTCACCTCTCTACCACGGCCACTTTTTTTGGAGGACGATCCATACATTGACTCTTGTTTAAACCGCTCTACAACGACCACCTGTCTACAACTGCCACTTTCTACTGTCCCCAGGGTGACCGTTGTGGAGAGACTCAACTTTGATCTGTTGTTTTTAAACATTATAGGACTGCAAAGGACATCCAAGTTTTGGAAGGTTGTGAAATTCCTCCAACCAGAACCGAATTTCTTGAATTGTTGGGTGAAGGAGCATTTGGAAAAGTTCACAAAGCGACACTAAAGGACGGTATGGCATACTTTGAAGACGAGCGAGACTGGCCTAGCAGGCCTAGAAAGCAGAAAATTATTGCGGTCAAAGAACTTTTTGGTGAGTTCAAGCTTGAAAATTCAGACTTTTAGCTTCTTGTTGCAATGTGACGTTCAGCATTTATTTACCACCAGCGTCGTTTCCAGAAATAAAGGCCCGTCACCTGTCCAAAAGCCACTTAATAATAATAAATTAACGATGCATGAAAAATAATGTGGTTTAAAAGCTTACGTTGTGAACTAAGGTGGATGTGTAACGGTAAAACTCATTAAGTGGGTTACTGACCAAGAGATCCAAGGACTATGGCCACCCGTTATATCTTTGCCCCAACAAAGACATCTTTACAGAATTTCACTTTTATGGAAAACTCAGTTATGGTGATCGCTATTTTTTTTTTCTTTCTCTACCCACCTATCCTTGTTGTCACCAGAAAACGCCAATGAAGAAGAGAGAAAGGAATTTATGGATGAAATCGAGCTCATGAAGAAGGTTGGAAAACATCAAAATGTTCTGAGTTTCTTTGGAAGTTGGACCACAACTAAACCAATTGTACTCATGATAGAGTATATCGCTCATGGAGATTTGCTTCATTGGCTTCGACATAAAAGAAGTCAGGTATTAATAATTACCAACTGATAATGTATGCCTCTGTTCAGTTGTAGGATCACACGGAAATGTGGTAAATAACGAAAGGAAAAGAAAAATTCGGCTCATGGTTTGCTTTTTGATGTTCTTACCACATTTTTTGTCTTCAGAGGTGTGTAATTGAAGACGCGCAGCAAGATAGAATCTAGTATTTGATTTGGGCAATAATTAACGAAAGAAAAATATACACTTTACGATCGGCAGTGGTTATAACTTGCAACTGCTGACTGTTGACTAAGAAGCAATTGGCAATTCTCTAAGAAAATGTGCGAATACTATGCCATACTGTAAGTGCATTTACGTTATTATAGCTCTTATTTCCTCGAAGAAATAACTTTTCTTGGATATTATTTTATATAGATTACATTATAATTCATTTTCTTTATATACTCCCGCAGTTTCTCTTGTTATAAATCCGATTGTCACTGGCTGGTGGGGATCACATGCATGAGCATACGTATCGAAATTAAAACAAAATGTATCTACCAATCTAGTAATATTCGCATGCATGATAGAGTGATTAACAGCATGTGATGAATGAGCGGGAAAAGCACGTGATTAGATCATTGCAGAGTGGCTTGTCGTTTGAGTAGGAGCAGAAAACAGCAATCCTATTCAAGAAAGTGAATCTGGGAGAGAGAATGCAAATGAATCCACTGCCATTGAGGGCGAAAGAAACTTTACAAATCAAGAGTCCCAACCCACAGGAGAACAAAACAGAACGATGCCTAGAACAACAGGGCTATCAACGACGGAAATATACAATGGATAATCAGAAATTCAATTAATCCTGTTCACAAGGCGATGGAAGTGTACAATGCGATCTATGATGATCGATGGGACCTCAACAAACGCCAGTGGTCAAAAAAGCGAGCAATGTTCCAGCAACTAAAGAACAAAAGATCTTAAATTAAGTACGAGACAGGCTAATTTCTAAAAAGGTAGGCTGGACCGAAATGGAACCTGAAGAAAAGCTATGGAAATTAAATTGTATCACCTATTCAGTTGCCGTTGCTTGGCAACATGTGAACGATGACTATCAAAGAACCCCTTGGGGACGAAAGCAAAGGCCAAGGAATGTGAAATGTGGAAAGGAAAATTTTGCAGGGAGACAGCTTTTATCAAAAGCTTCGGGAGAACACGAGGCTAGACAAAAGCAATCAAAGATGACGAAAAGACGCGTGAAAAGGCGGAAACAAATCAGCGCGAAATGTAAGACTCTTTTTGCTGAAGACCTAACAGAATTTATTAAAAAACTCAAACAGCAATTCCCAAACTCATTCTGAAATATTCATGATGTTGTCGCCCAACCAAAACGCCTCATTCTGGTCAGGTGGATGAATTGAGAAACCGAATGAAAAACGAGTTGAAAACCACACGTGTTTGGAAACGATTTCAAACCAGTGTGGTGTATGAAATGTTTCTTAATCGCATATTCATAAAGAAAGACCAACGCATGGAGACGAAAACTTAACCAAAGTATTGTAATACACTTTAAAGAAACATTTACTGCTAACATTCAATGTAACAGTATCAAAGCATCAAAATAAATAATGACAAGTGTCACATAAAACGCCATCAACATATTTGTCTTGCCGGTACTCACGTTCTTTATGCCAGTGCTTTACTTCTCTTACGAAGATCTTAGTGAGGTTGATTTGAAAATCAAACGTTTCTTAACTGAGAGGGAAGTGAGACATCCCCAACACCTTAACACCTTGCTCTACGCATCCCGTTCAGTTGGTGACCGCGGGCTCAAGGAAGTGACAAACATCGATCCACAAAGAAACCAAGAACAAGTCAGCTTTAAGAATCACCACATTTAAAGATCCGAAATTGCAGGTCGTTGTCCAATTCCAAGAAGGTAAGGAGGTAGAAAGCTGAATATCAATGCTTATATGCTAAGAAATGTGCTATGGACATGAATGAGGATGAACTTAGTGCCAACTGATGATCCCAAACTTTCATTTGAAACAACAGAAGGGAGAACTTACACTGCCTCAGACCTCACAGCGCAAAAATGTTG